TTGTTGTAGCGAAAATCGCACCGTAGTTGACGTGAGGCAGTTTCTGAATGAGAAACCAACAATGAAAGGTATAACGCTTACTCAGGGCAAATGGAAGAAAATGGTTACGCCTGAAACCTTTCATCGTGCACAAATCAGGTCAATGAATGAACGGACAATGAATATATTGTCACTCCCTGAATGACCTCAGTGAAGAATGTAAATTTTATATTTAGTTTTTGGCTATCAACAATCGACTAAAAGACGATGAAAAGAAGAAAAAAGAAAGTTTAGAAAAGAGGGTAGAGTTGAATGCCCGTTTGAACATTGTCCCAGTTGTATGTTGTAGGAAAGCCATGACGCATGTTGAAGATGATATTTGGCGAAACCTACAAACACAGGTATGGTTGGTTCTATCAAACTTTTGATCATAAACAAGTCCTGGCTTAGAGCCACCCAGTCTTATACCTGAATTACTGTTCAAACGGACGTCATAAAAACACACCCAGTCACTTTTTGTACTAGTATATATAAGTTCAAATGTCTTACCTTTACAAATAAACCTGAGTAGCTCCGTCTTTCACCTGTGCGATCGTTCTGTGGCGATTGTCGAATGTTGAATTTAGGTCACTTACACGTCGGCAATACACTGTCGCTTCACGACTTCTGAATGCACCCACAAATCATTGCAGGATCTATTTGTGTATATATGGGTTTGTTCGTTGCCTGTTGCTTATCGCCGCACTCAACAATATTGTGCGGGAAGTGAAATGTGTGACCTGCCTTTTTGTGTGGGAAGTGACAATGTGCGACCTGCCTGGTTGTGGTGGAGGTTCCAATGTGCGACCTGCTTGTTGTGTGGGAGAATACAATGTTCAGCCTGCCTGGTTGTGTGGGTGGTGATAGTGTACGACCTGCCTGGTTGTGTGGGTGGTGACAGTGTGCGACCTGCCTGGTTGTGTGGGTGGTGACAGTGTGCGAACTGCCTGGTTGTGTGGGTGGTGACAATGTGCGACCTGCCTGGTTGTGTGGGTGGTGACAATGTACGATCTGCTTGTTGTGTGGGAGGATACAATGTTCGGCCTGCCTGGTTTGGGATTGGATGGTCAGGCTCCCTGACTTGGTTGATGCATACCATCGTATCCCAATTGCGTTGATCGATGCACATGGTATCAATCACTGGATTGTCTTGGCCAGATTCGATTATTTACAGACTGCTGTCATATAGCTGGAATATTGCTGAGTGCGGCGTTAAATATCAAACAGACAAACAAAAGTTGGTAAGAATAGCCCACCACATGCTGAACAGCGGTCGATGTTCCCAATAAAGGATCCTCCCGCTTTTTTATCTTGAACTGTCAACGACCTCAAATAGTCGTCACCTGGAGCTCTATTTTGTAACAGTTACATGCAAGTCTTACTTATGAATGTTGGCGTATGACACTAGCATTTCGATACTAAATGATCGTGTATTGTTTTACGAAAATATCTTATTACTGTCAATTTATGTGTCATCGTGATTTTTTTATCATGCTAGCATAGCCTAACTAGATTATTTACAGTTTGAGGCGCAAATGAATATTCACTCACTAACTGTGTATAAAGTAGAAGTAGGAGTGAGTGAGTATGGTTTTATGCCGCTTTTAGCAATATTCAAGCCATATCACGGCGGAGGACACCAGAAATGGGCTTCCAATATTGTACCCATGTTGGGAATCGAACCTGGGTCTTCGGCGTGACGAGCGAACGATTAGGCTACCCGACCGCCCCTAGTAGAAGTAGGAAGTTGCATACAAACATTGTAGGTCATATTTGTGAATGTTGGTATAAAAGTTGACACTAGCAGTTGAATATTAAATGAATGGGTATGTTTTTACGACACTTTCAGCAGTATCACAGCTGCTGGCACAGATTATGGGAGCTAACTTGGGTATCTGGAAGCTGAGACAAGAGTAAAATATTTTGTAATATTGATGAAATGACATCCAGAGTGTCTAAATCAATATTGTCTCGGAAACGAACAATATTTATCATAAAACATACACGTAACTATGGTTGTCAATCATTATCATATGACAAGAACGACTTAAAAGATTTATCGCAGCATGGCTCACCCTACGCAATTGCATGCCCCTCATGGAGGCCGCGGGTAGGAAGAAGAGTCAAGTACAAACGTATTGAACTCAATTTCAATGCGTAATTTCTCAAATTTATTGACACCAACATAAAAGTACCAATAGAAATGAAGACAGGCGGCTCCTTTTTGTCACAGGATATTGTTCACAGATGGAATTTGTTAGTGAATTCAAAAGTGCAGCATCACTTAAACTCATTAATCTTGCGATGTCTGATCATTAAAAAGAAAATGTTATTTCATTTGCTAAATCTTAAGACATATTTAAATTAAAATATAGTATATGCTCCCGGGTTCTTGTATCAATTGATCGAAGTGAAATGCTATTGTTCTTGGTTCACATTGAACAGGTGTCAACTGATCCGTTTCTGACCATCTCATAAATACCCTTCGTTTAGTTTGCTTCAATGTCTCTGCTCTAATCAAAGGACACTGTGTTTGTAGAAACGAGTGCACTAAAACACATTCATGCTAACACATCTAAGTGTATTTACATTTTTATGATGGTAGGAAACATCTCTATGAGCACAAGTGTTAGCCAGCTGTACTGTCGGTATTTAACTACAATATACATTGTCTGCAGACAATTGATTCGAGGGAATATATCGTTGTAACGACGGGACATTTAGATATATTGATCAGATATGATATTATTTCTCACATTATTTATCAGTTGTGTAATGTGTTGCTTGCCGTGTCTCGTGTATAAGAAACTGTTATCTTACAAATAACTCCATTATATTGGCACAGCCGCTCACTGCCGTGGCTCGTAAAGGCTATTCGTGTTTTCCCCATGTTACACATGAAACACACCTTGACCAAGCGCCCCAGGCTATTTTATTCCCTAGCTGTCCAGGAGAGATTGTTCTCTCCAAGGGCCACGGGCAGCAAAATATATACTTCTTTCAGGATCTTGTGTCTTCTAATACAGGAGACTAAACACTAAACTCACCGAAAGAGCCAAATTCACACTTATACCCAATATAAAAAAAAGACAGAAAAAGACTTATGCCCGGTAACAAGGGAGGAGGACTTATCACCCTTGTTTACGACAACTGTACCTCCAAAAATATCAAAACAAATGTAGGAAACCTTGAAACACAAGTAATCTCCTTCAAACTGACAAATGGCAATGAGTTACGCAAAGCTAACGTATACCACATGGTTACCTATGAAACAAACACGCAAGAGCTAACGAGACTAGCTCAAATACTAGACAGAAATAGGATAATCCTTGGTGACCTTAATGCTCACAGTCTTTTATGGGAAGACAGGGGCAATTCTTGAAAATACGACAAAATCATAGAGAAATGGGTTGATAATGACAATCTCATAACTCTAAAAACGGCAGTCACACACGTTATGACCATGTACGCAACACATTGACCTCACAACTGCAACCAGCAATCTCGCCTCACATTGCCAAAGGCAAGCACATAATGACACTTGGGGAAGCGACCACCTTCCTATGTTCACCTACATAGGCAGCCCACCAGAATAAGAGGAACAACCCAATCCTCAACCCACAGTGGACTGTGCAAAGGCTGATTGTCCCAAAGTCAGGAAGGAATATACACCATTCAAATCCTCAGAAATGGCCTCTGGTAATCCTGATCTTTTTTTGTCAAAATTTCATTTCAGCAATTATTGTTGCAGTTGAAAAATCGATTCCAAATAAAGCCCACAAAACCGTCAAAACTCCGTTAACATGGTGGAACAGGAAAATAGCAAACGCTAGAATAGTGAGAAAGAAAGCCCTTAATAGGTCAAAAAGGGATAAATCATCATTCGCCCAAGTTCGAGAAGCCAGGATAAAAGTAAGATATCTCATAGACGATTCTAAGAAAGAGTCATAGCAGACCTGCAAATCTCTAATTGAAAAATCAAATGCTCAAACAATGTGGAGCAAAATCCACAAAATCACAGATAAGCGTAAACCTACCAAAAATCCCAAGTTAGCCAACGCCTATACAGTCAAAGAAAAGGCCAACATTCTAGCTGAGCACTTCTCATCTGTCAGCAGCAACAAAAATTGCAGCAAAGAATTCACACAGGAAAAAATGCCTTTGCCTAAGATATCACAAAGCAAGCATCTGGTATACAATATACCATTTACTGTGACAGAGTTTGATGATGCTGCACAACATAGAAATGGCACTCCACCTGGTCTTGACACAACCAGTTACGAGATATTGAAGAACTCTGATCAAACCAAAAGCGCTCACTAACTGAGTTGTACAACACGTATTTTTGTACCTCACACAACTAACACAAAATGGAGAAGAAGGGAACATGGCAAACTTCATAGACAGCTTCCTGCAAGACAGGTCGTTGTCAGTTAAAACAGGGAACAATCAATCTGATCCTCTGTCACTGACAATGGCACACCACAAGGCAGCATTATAAGTCCAACCCTGTTTAAAATCATGACCAGCGACCTAGTTAATCATGTCAACTCTCCTACCCTAACTTCTAAATTTGCTGATGACAAGTGAAACAAATGCAGGGGGAATGATGCTATGATACCCTGTCTCTCCAAAAAAGGAAAAACCGATCAAATTTAAAAATCCTCAAGGGTGATTCCAGATTAACACCTCACTTGGAGTACACATATAGCAGATGTAGAAAACAGATGTCATTAAGACCAGAACGAATTGCCGTCAATTTCACGCACATCTTGGGGTACCTCGAGGGACGCTCAGCTGGACCTCTACAAATCACTTATCAGATCAAAAGACTATGGTTGTGAGGCCTTTCACTCAGCATCTGATACTGTCTTGAGCCGCCTCAGTGCAATTTGGATACGATGACATGCATCAACCAAGTCAGCAAGCCTGACCACCTGATCCCGTTTGTCGCCTCTTTAGTCTATCTGTGTTAGTTGAGTCTAACCATGCAAACCTGTTAGGCCATTGATCTCTGTTCTCTCGATCTTCTCAATAAATGTCTCCTCTATGTTCTTTTCATCAACAATATTTTCCAACTCAAGAGAGCCATACTTCGTCACAAGCGTTTTTATGATCAGAACAAGAGACACAAAACACACGAAGGCCAAAACTGCCTCGATGAAAGTGATGTAGATGTACCATTTGAAGGATACTGTCTGGAAGAGGTAACCTAGCAACAAAGGGTTCAGAATTCCTTGCAAATTCACTGCCACCCAGATGACAGACGTCACCATACCAGACACCTTCATCACGTCATTTTCAATATACACAATTGCAGTTGGGAATATAGCTGACATTCCTATTGCTGCAAGGACCATGCAGATCCATATCCCTGGGTCGGATTTATAAATTATGCTGAGCCACAGACCTGCTAAAGACAACACGCTGAGACCATTAGAAATAAACAAAAGCTGAAGAGGGTTAAGGATTCGATCAAGTAGCACACACAGCAAGCGAGAGGCGGCATAACCCGCCCAATAGACTGATGTTAAATTGGCAGTCTTTTCCTTGCTCCATCCAAGGTCATTTACAAAATATGCCATTATGTAGCCAACGATGACACTGATGGAAGAAGAGCTGAAGAAATACATGCCTCCAACAGTTCCAAGGATAAGCACACGCAACCATCTGGGAATCACACGGGGATTTCGATGATTCTCAATTCTTGTTTTACGTTTTGTGTTTGGAGGACTGAAAAAGCATTCTGCAGTTATCATGATCCCCGACAGAAGACAGAGTGCACCTGCTATCATGTATGCGTACTGGATACTACTTTCGGAAGGGAGACAACTCTCCGGAATAAGGACGGTTGTTTCATTCGAGTTGTCAGCTGAATGTCCGTCGCTGTAGTTATAAGACTGTCGTACGTTATGTATGTCACAGAAGGTCGCGTTGTATGTTTTTTTCTCAGCTAGGAAGGGTTCCACCGTGAGTGGTGCTATGATGGTACCGACAGCAAAGACAAAGTGTAGAATCTGTATAAACATCTTGCCTCCCACACTTGACGTGCTCATCATGTCAAAGTTTCCACCTGAAAAACACCATACCAACAGTTGATATTTTATTTATCTTTATTTGGAATATACATATATATTCTTCTAAATATATAAGCATCCCGTGTTATACTGACTATAAATTAATGTTTTTGCCAAAACAGATAATACAAATGATACTGCAAAGGAAATCGTAATTATTTATGAAATTGAAAATCAAGTAGTTGTCTATTCAACCTATTGTTAATTTGATTACATCGGTTTCTCGTTGTAATAAAGAGACATGGCCATAGTGTCCTGTTGTTTGAGACCATAGTTGCTATGTTTATGGCCGATTTCTATTTCAACAAATGAACATTGATTTACCTGCATCAAAAGCCGTTGTTAACATCCCATTAACAAAAAATATAGAAATGGTCAAGAAGTAGTTCTTGCTCCATGGTATAGCACTGGTGCTGACAACGTTCAGTAGAACAGAACTGGCCAGAATGGCTTGCCTGTGCTTGGCTACTTTCTCAATGAGGACACCCATGAAGACTGATCCCACGAGTCCTCCTGCCGCGAGGGACGTGTAGAAGATTGATGCTTCCTCTACATTGCTCCCAGTGATCTGGGCCAGGTCCAAGAACGCTGGGCCGTGCTGGCCACGGCAGACACCCTGTAAACAATATTTGGTGAATTATAAGGTGAATTGGTAAATTTATAATGAGTGAGTGAATAAAAATATTTTTACAATACAATCCTTTGAGGTTTTGAGAATCCACATGGTATAGATTCCTCCTATATGAAGAATATAATGAAAGCCCTTCCTTGATGGTATTTAGGATTGTTGTAAAAAACAGGGATTTGGGATTTGGTGGTACATTTGCTGGACAAGGCAATATCTCTTTCTATTTATACGCATTTTTTTTAGCTTTGGAATCAAGTACATAAGAGCAATGGACATGTTTTCAGGTTTTAGAGTCGAAAGTTGATGGATGGTTTTGACAGATTTCTTCCTCAGTTAATATACTGGAATTATATGTGGTATTATTTAATATGTCACTTATATAAGGTCCTTTGATCAGACAATCAATAAAGTGATGCTAACATATAACTGTTATGTTATTTGAGGCCTTGTCTGTGCGAAGAAAAGTTTCACGTAGGGCAGGCAGACAATGATGACAGCTGGCAGGGACAGAATGGGTTTATTCCAATTGTGTTTCCTCTTTTTCTGTTCGTGCATTCCAGCAATGACAACATCACGCAATGTCTCCACTCTGAAAGACCACGTACTGACTTATACCCATTCCTAAAGACCTGCAACATGTTCCGCTTTTCTTTGGCCATTCTTTTGGCATATGCTTCAATAGCATCCATAATGACTTGAAATAGTGTGGGACATTTAGGAAAACTGATTTTTCTCTGATAACGTTACTTAAATTTAAAGCATTAAATCCCAGTTTGCAAATTTGAAAGTCAGGAACATGCGGTCTTTGTCTGATTTAGTGGCTGATTAGATGCCCGTCTTTCGATATAACCAGGGTAAAATATGCCATGCATCTGATAACAACTCTGCTTATGATTGTTTTTCAATATTTGAGTGTAATAATTCACCAAAAGCGTTCAACCATAGTGGAGGTTTAAAGTAAATTGAAACAAATGGACACAGATGAAACTTACCAGGACCAGAAACGCAAAGTAAAGTATCAAGGTGTGGATGAACTTCCGTCGGAACTCGGGATCCTGTAGTTGCTGCCGGAAGTGAACTGTTTCTGGCGTTGATCTGACAGATTCAGGCCCCATGGCAAACTGAAGCAATATGACCAAAGATAAGTTGTATGTAATCAGGAACATCCGAATTGTTCATCTGACGCGGAGAGAGGGAGTTAGGAGATAAGCATTCTGCGTTTTCATTGTAGATATTAGTTTCCTCATTTACCAGACGTTACCATTGGGATTAAGGCTCACCTTTTTGCCTGGATCTTCACTATTTTATATTGATTCGTAAACACATGCTCACCCTACATATATGTAACTACATGTATGCCTATGTAACTGACTAGTAGCAATTCGGATTACCACCTACCGTTACGGCCTGGATTACTGAGTTTTATATCTAGGCTCCTGCTAATTGACGGTGGGGTGGACTGACTGTTGATGACATGGATGGGTAGCTATCGGCTCCCCGGTAGTGTTGGTGGTGTCATTGGAAAAGGATTTTTTTTTAAAAATTCGTGAATACATAGGCCTGGTGAAACTTTTGTAAGAACCAAATGGCTTGAAGTTTTGTATTATAATTGATGGGGGAATATTGCCTGTCCAAATATGGTGAAATGAACACCATTGTGTTGCACATGTGCGTGTGGTAATCCCCACAGAGAGGCCCCTGACACCCAGTTTAGACACTTTTAAACGGTTGTATTTCCCTAAGCACCCCTTATAATTTTGTTTTTGTTAGATATGCCAGAAGTTTCCAACGAGCCATCATGCGTCAAAATCGGTGAATATTTAGTGAAGTGTGTTTCTTCACCGCACTACAGGGGCGGTCGGTTAGCCTAGTGGTTAAAGCGTTCGCTCGTCACGCCTGAGACCCGGGTTCGATTACCGACGTGCGTACAATGTGTGAAGCCCATTTCTGGTGTTCCCCGCCGTGATATTGCTGGAATATTGCTAAAAGCGGTGTAAAACCATACTCAGTCAGTCAGTCACCTCACTACCAAACTACTCGTCACAATATGGCTTAAATAATGCCGATGTGACGTTTAATATTAACTCACTCACTCACTAACAAACTGAATTTTATAGCTCTATCAGAAATTTTGTTGCTGTCATTGGAAAAGTGCTAATTTTCGATTTTAACGTAAATGCATTGGTCATTTGAAACCCTTTGCAGTAACCAAATCGCTTGAAATTTTGCATTACCATCAGAGGCGGAACTTTAACTGTACAAATATGTTGAAATGAAGGCCCTTGCGCTGCGCATGCGCGTATGGTAATCCTCTCAAAGAGCCTATGATACCCGTTCAGGCACCTCTGAATGGTGGTTGTATTTCCCTAACCACCCACTATAACCATGACGGACTTTGTATCAGAAGTCTTAGAATTTCGAGAAATTTCCAATGAGCCATCATATATCAAAATCGGGTAATTGAAGATAAACGTTCTGTGTTTGAAAATTAGATTAATTTTAGAGACTATCAATTCGGCCTAACATTAATCTAATTTTCAAACATTGTACGTTTATCTCCATTATACCATGACCTGCGGACGACAGTGCGTAATCCGGCATGGCACAAGACGCGAATTGAACTCGTCTGTGTAAGGGGTGGCAGGCGTCTTTCTGTGTGTTTTTCTAACATTGTAACGTAAAAAAGATTTTCGTCAAAAGAAAACAAACAACTATTTGTTCAAGGAAACAGTGTTTTACGTTGTAAATAAGTAACAGCTTGGTCACATAAACCCTCCAAACACGACAGAAACCATCTTACTGTTTGGTTTGCCGCTGTACTGTACGTACCCCCTGCCAACACTACATGGAATGGCCTGACCTACTTATTTCCTCAACAATTTAACATTTGGAAAGAGGCGGACGTGCCACTTTTCACATTTTGTGCAAGATTGAAATTTGAATTGATAGTGGAAAATACTTGACTGACTGTCGAATCTGAACCCTTCAGAATAGAATAATAGTTATTTTTCTGATCTGCCGAAGAGTCAATGTTGTAACTCATCAAGGACTGTTGATTTTGTGACCAGGAGTTTGACGACTTCGTGTGCCTCTACCACGGCAGGCGACAAAGGAATGTCGGCGGTGACCCTAACGCAAATGCGACTAACTTGGGATCTTTTGAAAATGTTTTCATCATTTGGGACAGAGGCTGGAGGCCAAGTGGTTTTAAAGAGTACAAACATGGATCCCCAGCAGTGACAGTTTTGCCGGGAAGCTGGTAGAAAGCAGGATTCTTGTGGTTTACTGTTGTCATGTTTTTTTGACATGTAGATGCAACCAGGCACGAGGGAATATGAGTGGCCTAAATTCGGGGTTTTGCCTGACCCTTTTCTTGCAAGGCTCCTGGATGATTTTTGGTGGGTTTTGGTCGCTCTATCCCAAGATCGTCTGATTCGATGTCAAATGATTTGAATAAGTGCACAGTGAAGCGGTCATCAAATCAGACGTTTTTTTCAATCCAAATTGATTTTGGCTATTTTTATTGATTGTTGAATCAAATTCGAGTATTCCACGTAGTCATTGTACAATTTGTATTCAAGTGTGTTGTTTCAAATCGTCACCAAACCGAATCTGATAGCTCCATCAGTGCTAATTTTCGATTTTAACGTTAATACATAGGCCATTTGAAACCCTTTGCAGAAACCAAATCGCTTGAAATTTTGTATTTCCAACTAAGAGGGAACATTAGCTGTTAAAAAATACTGAAATATACACTCTTGTGTTGCGCATGCGCGTGTGCTAATCCTCCCATGCCCCGGTATCAGCTGACGTCAGAGTCTCTGCCTGATAGCGTGCCCTTTAACGACTAGCAGACTTGTTTACTGCGTCTTTGAAAAGGACCATTTGATTGCGCCCATTGTTTCGTAAGTGTCGCTGGATCGTATGCTGGTGTTGTTGTGGGTGAGTTATTGTCTGTCAGGTATCGTTGGGTGTAGGGGTACATGTTTGACAGCGTCTCGAACGTGTTCCGAGCTGGACTAACTTACTATCCCCGAAACAAGCTATGTGTAGGGTTGAATAAAAACAGTTCTAAAAACGAGCCGTCGAGTGTGGTAGACAGACATATTTATTCGATATAAGGCTGTAAAGAAGTTGGCAGCAGAGTTAACGCATGGCAGAGAAAGCCTTGAATACGACCCCATCTTGTGACGTCATGCAGCACCAGAAATGCTCCAGTGGACTCACAATGTGGTGATGACCGACCGGCGAATGACTGACAGTTGGCAAATGTGTAAATTCCGTTATCGCAGAAACATTTGTAGAAGTTTCTTACATTTGATCAAACATGCACCAGGGGAACATGTCTCGTGATAATCTAGCTCTGTTTGAGTGAGTGAGTGAGTGAGTGAGTGAGTGAGTGAGTATGGTTTTACGCCGCTTTTAGCACTATTCCAGCAATATCACGGCGGGGGACACCAGAAATGGGCTTCACACATTGTGCCCATGTCGGGAATCGAACCCGGGTCTTCGGCGTGACGAGCGAACGCTTTAACCACTAGGCTACCCGACCGCCCCAGCTCTGTTTGAAGCAGGGCCAGAAAGGTTCTTGCAAAGATTTGTGACTATGGATGAAACCTTGGTTTGCCACTTGCAAACAACAATCAAAACTGTGGAAGCATATGACATCGCCACCACCAAAGAGGGTGAAATGGGGTTTCATGTTGCACTTATAAAGAGACCTGCATGCACGTGTGTGTGTCTGTGTGTGTGTGTGTGTGTGTGTGTGTGTGTGTGTGTGTGTGTGTGTGTGTGTGGCTGCTTGTACTAGTGCGGACTGATGCCGATTTATAGTGCCAGCCCTCTGAGATACTATGCCGCAGGTTTAACATGAATAGTTCACACAGACACAGTAAACTGAGCCGAACATTCCTTGTTTCAGCCCCTTAATGCCGAGCGCCAGGTAGGGTAACAACAAGTACCATCTTTTACCGTCTTTTGGTATGATGCGGCCGGGGATTGAACCCCGGACCTTCGGCTCTCCGGGCAGACGCTCTGCTACTAGACCACAGAGGCGGTCGCCACCACCAAAAAAGGCACAGACTGTCCCATCAGCTCGGAAGCTTATGGCCTGAGGGATGGCTAAGGATATCATCATGGTGGACTATCTTCCAAAAGGCCAGGCAAAGAACAGAGCATATTAATTTGAGGCAATTACGGGAGGTAGTTAGACTATGAGACATGGGAAGCCATAGTAAGGCGTGCTCTTCCATCAGGACAATTCGCCAGTGCACAAAGCAGTTATTGCTATAGCAACTCCTTCAGCACCTACCTTATTCTCCTGATGTAGATCAGGGGTAACTTTGGATGGATATTTCATAAGAAGCTACGCCTTGACACATATGATGATGAAACGTTTATTACCGTATGCACAAGCACCATTGTCACGAATGCTTTGACCGGATTTGCAGAAATTTCTAAGCTTGAATTCAGATAAAAATACTTGACCATATCCTGTTTTAAATGCATTTTGCTTGATGTAGGGCCAATAAATACCTGTTATATTTAATATTTCACTGAAGCATTTATTCCTGACATAAATGTCATGCCCCAATGACATTAGATATGAAAATACATAACCGGAAGTTGGACTATTTTCGCCGGTGCAGGTGTTTACAAACAACACGGATTCCGGTGATGTTGGAGACAGTGTTTTAAAAGATCAAATGGATAGTGCTACAGTGATATCAGAGTTACCAAATGGATATTACAGGCTACAGGTTGATGGTACCGAATTTGGTTGATATTTTCCATATATTAAAAAAAACACTATGTATGTTTTCACCTTGTGAAATATTGGGTTTCATATTGCTGTTAAACACATTCCGCTATCTTTGCCTCCAATGTTCACATGACCTCGTTAACCTTTTAGCACTGTGCAAGTGTCACGAGTTTAATCACTTCCCCGACCTTCTTTAAACAAGAGCATATGGGAGAGAGTCCATTAAGATCATACCGGCAGATCATGCGAAATATCAATAGGTTAACAGTTTGTACATGTCTACTCCTTCTCGTCTCTCTACCATGGGTTATTGGAAAATACTATGACCAATGTGAAAAGCATATTACACAAATA